ATCACCATCTCCAGCGATTAAAAAATGCACTACACTTACAGGACTAGGGCATTAGGAAATAACGCGCATGGGATCACCAATCAATCAACCCAACCCACCCTACTTCGCGCCTCGCCTCGCTTTGCCCTGCCTTGCCTCATCCCGGCTCCCACCCTCCGGCCTCTTTGCCACGCTGCGAAGAACCGCAGTTCCGGGATGCAATGCCATGCCCATGCAATGCATCCTCCAACATGCTCCAGCACACGCGGGTTATTTCCCGGACTACGTGGTGGCGCTGGCACTCGGTGGCTCGTTGGTTAGCGTGCTCTCTTTCCACGGGTTCGATTCCCGTTCGAGCCAAGTATATATGTGCGCTTTCCTTGCAATGTCCTTGCAGTGTATGTTGCTGTGGGATGACGAGGAAGTTCACTTCTCAGGTTGAGAAAACCCTAAGTACAGCGTAGGAATGGCTATGTTCTAACCACACGTACCCCTTAACCCATGGCCGCAAGGCTGGGACGCTACTGGAAGGCGTTATCTCCTAACGATCTGTTGTGCAAAAGTACATACATACATACATACAAACAAGATACATGTGGTGGTGCTGGTTCTCAGGGCAGCGTTACTGATGTTTCGGTCGTCGCCCTGTGACCTTACTCAGCCCGTGAATAAGTAAGCAACACTTTCTTGGCGCCTCTGTGTAAAGACTCCCACTTCGGAAGCCGCACTTTTCGCCTTCTTCTTCCACTCGTATCGTGTTGAAAGCACAGCCACTCCTCATCCTGTCTCTTAAATTCTGAGCTAGACAGTGTGCGCAGTTACTCAGAGCGTCATATCAACGCAGTAACTGATAAAAAAACTCTTATTGCTAGGCTCTGGTAACGAAAAACTGGATAAATATTTTTGCTATACGTAACAAATTATTTCCTTCAGCACATTATGTATTCGGAATCCACATTTTGGTGCTCCTTGATGGAGATAATTCGATTGGCGGCAAAATGTTTGTCTATCCGTCCGTCAATTTTGTCCAAACTTTCAGACGATTTGTTTCAAAATTGATATTCGAAGATCGAACTTAACGAACTCCAGGCCCTGCACGTTTGAAACGAATATTTTAATTTCAGACGCAGCCACAAAACCATGATCAAAATTTTCTCAAAAATAGCTGCAAATTTTTGGATTAAACTGTCCTCGAAGAGCTCATTGGTTTGTTAGGGTACTACTCCGACATTCACCTGGCAATGATCGAAAAAACGACGGAAAACTTCAGATCAGAGCAGCCGGCCGCTACAATGCTCCTCCAGACAGAGGCTGAAATCGATCCAGCTATCTAGCGAGTCCTAGATAGCTGAATAGAGATCTAGAATATCCTGCGACCACCGCGACTCGAAACCTACAACTTCCCGATCACAGGCACAGCAGTGACATCAGTTGATGCTGTAGGACACCGTTGCCGGTACTACGCACTGATGTTCAAAATTAAAACATCGATGTCAATAACACATCGACAAAAGAACATGTAAGTTTAAAATATTTTTTGATAACCTTTAATGTTAAATTCGTACGTAACAAAATTTAATTTAACTCTGGCCATCTTTATTAATTTGAAATGAAGAATTAAGTGACAATAAAACAAGAAAGATATTCTCTGTATAAATACAGTGTGCCAAGAATGTCTCTCAGCACTGAGCCGCATCAGGGCTTCCTATGAAAAATTGCATTTGTGTTGGGAGCAAAATAATCACTGAGAAACAAGTGAAGGGAACAACTCATCCAGCAGCCGTTATGATTGTGCTGAGTATGCAATGTACGTTTTCTTTTGTTACAACCTACAGCTCGTGGTACCAACATACTTTCTGTTGCTAGCACTCTCAGCAGTAAGATTCCACTGCGGAAAGACTTTCCTGGCACACTGAAAATCCAGGCGAATTCTTTTCGGTCTGGGGAAAATTTCGCCAACCTGCACACGGGTGTGCCCGCGCCGTAACAGTGCCAGCTGCAACACAAAGTGCGTTATTTCCCGCGTCGCTCCCCTCACGCTTTTGGCGTCGGCCGTCACACGCCGCCCCGACCCGTCCCCCTCCGACTCGTCCCGCCCGTCCCGTCTCG